CCCCCCCCCCGGAAAGCACACGCATTGTTTGGGACGAAGAATGTCTGGAGTGCATGAGACCAGTGTTGAGGGATGACTCTGGAAAGGTCAAGTTGGTGCCAAATTATGAAAAGTTTTATATGCTCTGTGGGCAAAAGGTGTTCCAGCAGGGTGTGAGCACACAGATCGTGCAGGAGTTCAGGGGACACAAAACTGGAGCAGCCAGGGAGCAGGCCTGCAGGGGGCTACAGCACCCTCCCCTTCCTTTCCCAGGTGGTTCCGCGGGTGTTTGGGCGCATGGTGGGTAAGAACCGCGAGGCCGTGGCCCAGGCCATGGTGTTGGAGATGTTCCGGGAAGAGGATTACCACAATGATGACGTCCTGGACCAGATGGGTGCCAGTATCCTGGGCGTGGAGGGGCCCCGGCGCCACCCAGATGAGGCCCCCGAGGATGAAGTCTTTGAGCTCTTTCCCATGTTCATGGGAGGGCTTCTCTCTGCCCATAACCGGGCCATGCTGGCTCAGCTTGGCTGCCCCATCAAGAACCTAGATGCCCTGGAGAATGCCCAGGCCATCAAGCAGAAGCTGGGCAAACTGGGCCGGCGGGCGCTGCCCCCATCAGAGCTGCTCGACCATCTCTTCTTTCACTATGAGTTCCAGAACCAGCGCTTCTCCGCTGAGGTGCTCGCCTCCCTGCACCAGCTCAGCCTGGCAGGCGTGCGCATGACACCCCTCAAATGCACAGTGGTGGCGGCGGTCCTGGGCAGTGGGAGGCATGCCCTGCACGAGGTGAACTTGGCCTCTTGCCAGCTGGACCCTGCTGGCCTACGCACACTCATGCCTGTCTTCTTGCGTGCCCGGAAGCTGGGGTGAGGACCTCATGCACAGGCACAGAGAAAGGAGGGCTGCAGGTGAAGGGGTGGGAAGAGAAGGAGCTTGGGAAACCCGAGGCGTTGAGGAGGGACCAAGGCGCAGGCTGGGGATGTTCGGTGTGGGTGGAGGTGATGAGCATGGACGGAGGACAGTGGGGACTGCAGGCGTCAGGCCGCTGGATGGACAGGCCCTATGCTGAATTCCTTTGGTTTCTTCCCTCCTCTCCGGCCACCTGCTCCAGCTTGCAACTCAACAGCCTGGGCCCAGAGGCCTGCAGGGACCTCCGAGACCTGCTGCTGCATGAGCAGTGCCAGGTTACCACCCTGCGGTAAGTGTCCTGGGAGGGGCTGGAGGGAGGGCTGGCCCTTCGGGTGCCAGCTAAGGTCAAGGGTGTGCTCCTTGCCTCAGCATGCCTGCCACAGGCCCACCCATGGTGTAGTAAAGGGGGTGGGAGTCTGGCCCTGTCCTGCCCCCCAGGTCCAGTACAAACAGCAGGGTGGGGATGGGGGTGAGGTGCCACCATCAATAGGTGCTAAGAAAGCCTCTCATGTGGCTAAAATCAGCCTGGGAAAAGGGTTAGAATAATACCCAGGCCAGTTACCTGGTAACTGTGCCACTGACTCCCTCCTGGGATTTTCCTTGTCGCCTCATAAGGACGGCCTAATGCTGAGCACTCAGTAGATGCTCCCAAAGAGTTGACTGATTTACGAGGAACCCACACTCCTGGGTTTCCAATTTCTGGTTAAAGTAAGGGGAGGGGTATGAGGAAAGAGAAAGGAGGGAGAGCAGGAAGGGTGGGCAGTGAGACTGGGGAGGAAGCCACACAGGAGGAGGAAGGGAAATGGTGAGATGAAGAGGAAGAGAGCCAAGGAGGGAGTCAGCAGAGGAGAATGGGAGGCGGGAGGAGAGGTGAGGAGAAGCCGGCTTCTACCCCTCTCCCCCTGCAGTGCGCCACACCCGCTCTTCTCCACCCTCTCCTGGACCTGCAGTTCTGTGTCCAGGCTGGGCTCTGCCCAGGCTGTGTACCCTTTCGGCCCAAGCACATGGGCCCTTATAACCTTGGGGTACTTGTGGCTGTAGGCTGTCCAACAATCCGCTGACTGCCGAGGGTGTGGCCTTGCTGGTGGAGGGCCTAGCGGGAAACACCTCGCTGACACACCTGTCCCTGCTACACACGGGCCTTGGGGATGAGGGCCTGGAGCTCCTGGCTGCCCAGCTGGACCGTAATCAACGGCTACAGGAGCTGAATGTGGCCTATAATGGCGCTGGCGACACAGCGGCCCTGGCCTTGGCCAAGGCTGCCTGGAAGCACCCTTCCTTGGAGCTGCTGCAGTGAGTCTTGTCCCTGGTCATCTCCCCACCCCAGCCTGAGCCTCTGTTTCCCATCCCCTTTTCCTTCCCCCTCTCCACTGTGCTTTTCCCACCCTAGGGGGTTGGCCGGGACCTGTCGTCTCTTCCTGGCTTTTGAATGATGCTTGTCAACCTGCTTCTGAGCCAATTCACCCCTCTGTGACTGGCCCTTACCCTGCCCTGATTCCCTCCCACCACCTGTCCTAGGGTCGTGGTGGCCCCATTCCTAGTCCCTGGTCCCACTGAATTCTAGAGTCATCCCTGCCTCCCATTGGCCACCACCCTCCATCTCTGGCTTATTGAAGACACACCCCTTCACATTACTCAGCCAGGGACTGAGCTGCGAGACACCCTCTGTGAATCCTTCTCAGAGCCTTGCTGAGTGGCATCTTCTCTTCTCTCTCCTGTCAGCCTCTACTTTAATGAGCTGAGCTCAGAGGGCCGCCAGCTCCTGCGGGACTTGGGGGGCACTGCTGAAGGCCATGCCCGGGTTGTGGTATCGCTGACAGAGGGGACAGCAGTGTCAGAGTACTGGTCAGTGATCCTCAGTGAAGTCCAGCGGAACCTCAACAGCTGGGATCGGGGCCGGGTCCAGCGCCATCTTGAACTATTGCTGCGGGACCTGGAAGATAACCGAGGAGCCACCCTTAATCCTTGGCGCAAGGCCCAGCTACTTCGAGTGGAGGGTGAGGTCAGGGCCCTCCTGGAGCAGCTGGGAGGCCCTGGAAGCTGAGGCAGTGGGAGCAGGCACCTAGCCGGGTGACCCCGATTCCCAAGCCCCACCTCTGTTGTCCTCTGGTGTGCATTACTACTCTGTGAAGATCCCTTCACAGCTGGAGTCAAAGGACTGGGCACAGCTGTACCAGTGGCCCTCCTGGAACATGTCCAACCAATCCTCCCAAGTCTGGAATTTCCAGGGTCCTGAAACATGCTCCTCTCCATTGGGCTGGAAGGACGAAGGATGTGGCATTTTTGTGGCTAAACTGCCCTGTAGCACCACCACTAACTTTGTCCCTCTCTCCTCTCAAGAGCCTCTGTGCCACCAGGCGGTGCACTTCTTATGTCCGCCTTGCCAGGGGTGTTTTCCAGATGTGTTGGGGGGCTTCCACCTCCTGCCTTTATGCTTTCTGTGGACACCCAGGACATCCACAGCCACCCTCCTCTCATTGGTGCTTTCTGCTCAGCCTCACGCTTCTCTTACCACAATGGCACTTGTGCTCAGTGGTCCCAGCTGGCATGTGTGCTGACTCACTGTTATTAAAAAACATCTACCTACTGTGGCCTCTGCCTGGTGCTTTTAATGAAGGACGCTGTTCTCAGTCATTCTGATTAAACTACTGGCCACTTTTTGTTACAAGTGGTTCTTATGTACTAGGTTCAAAGGCAGTGGGGGCTGGGGGGACCCATGAAGAAGATGTTGGGGTGCGGCAGGCCATGCTGGGCTGTAGGACTCCTACCACCCTTCGTCCATACTTACCCAGGCTTGGGATTAGTGGTCAGCATTCCTCTGCACGGCGGGGGCTGGGGCAGCAGCAGGGGCTCAGGGCTGGGCCCGGGGATGGGTGCGGGAGCATGCACGCGTCCCGGGGACAAGACTCCTCGGTTAACCATTATCCCACGGCTTCCAAGGCAGCGAAAGTCTTCAAGGAGGCGGGACTGGGGGTAAGTGGGAAGGTCAGCTGGTTTCGATGGACCTTGTCCCTACCCTGAGCGCTGGGTTGTTGATCCAGCTATGGAGGCAGCTGCAGGTAGGAGGCTGGGAGGAATCTCCTGGAGGGGACTTCAGTCGGGGTAGATCGGGAGGCCGAGGCTTTATAGACCAGGGCGCCCTTGATGCTGGGGCTTGGAGCCCTGAGACAAATAGACTGGAAGTTAGGAGAGCACAGGTGAGTGTCTATGCCTGCCTTCCTGGTCCACACCCTGTACTGATATGTTCAGATTTCTGTGCCATGGCCTCTGGGGGGAGGGGAAGGAAGGGAAAGGAAAGACCCTTTTGGAGCAGAATGGAGGATTACAGCCTGAGTTTGGGGTTTGCCCTAAGTCCTTTCAGTTAATGAGCATGGAAGGGGTGGAGGATGCACCTCTCTTCCCCTCACCCCTTTTTTGCCCAGCAGATCTCCAGGACACAGCTTTGCTAACTCCGTAAGTGGTACCCTGTGAGGGGTGGGGCAAGGGGAGGAGGAGATTGAAGGTGGGAAGCTCTTCAGCTGCCATTAGCATCTTGAGTGGAGTCTGGGATCTCCTTGCAGGAGGTTTGAGTTTAACCCGAAGTTGGGCATTGATAATCCTGTCCTGTCCCTGGCTGAAGATCATGACCCCTCTGGTAAACCCCTTACCCCCTGGGCAGCCATTCCCCTTCCCCAGAGATATTAGGGGCCTGTACAGGCTGCCATGCCCTTGGTAACCACTCATCTGTCTCCCTCTGATAATAGCCTTAGTTGGGAGCAACCACACGGACAGAGGAGGGGACAAGTGTTTTCTTCTGTCCCAGCTACTCTGCCCACACAGTGTTTGGCCCTACTGCCCTACTGCCCAACACCTAACTGGGTAGAAGTCTGCCTGGTGCCCTACCAAGGGGACAGCATCTCGGGGGCTCAAGGTGACTTGCACTTGGGCCATATCCCACTCCCCACCCCGTTTCTGCTGCCTACCACCCCTCCAGATCTCTGGCGCCTGGAGCGGCCTCGCTTCTGTCTGCTGAGTAAAGAGGAGGGCAGGAGCTTTGGCTTCCACCTACAGCAGGAGCTGGGCAGGGCCAGCCATGTGGTGTGCAGGGTGGAGCCAGGCACCTCTGCCCAGCGGCAGGGTCTCCGGGAAGGAGACCGGATCCTGGGGGTGAACAACCGTGTTGTGGAGCATGAAGACTCTGAGGTGGTGAGGTTGGGCTGGAACTCCCCGTGGCACTGGAGAATGTTCCATATGAGGGATTACTTCCCTGGGTATATGGGCACAGGACCCAAACCTCAACCTCCCCCACGTCCCAGAATATATGGGTGCCCAGGCCAGAATATTTGGGTAGAGGCATCTAGAGGGCTGGCTCCATGGTGAAAAATAGGTTCCAGGGGCAGGGGGCGGCAAGGGCCAGCTCCAACCTCACCCTCTGTTTAGGTGGTGCGCTGCATCCGGGCCAGTGGCCCACGGGTGTTGCTGACAGTGTTGGCGCAGCATGCACACGACCTGGCCCGAGCTCAGCAGGGGAGTGCTGCCCTTCTCTGTCCTACTCTCAGCCCTGGGGTCCGGCCCCGTCTGTGCCACGTAGTGAAAGATGAGGGTGGTTTTGGCTTTAGTGTCACCCATGGTGAGCTCAGAGGCTCAGGAGGGCGGTCAGGAGGGGGATCAGCCCTGCCCGGGTCAGCCAGCAAACTAACATTTGTTTTTTTGTTTTGGCTTCCAGAACATCAGGGCTCTTTCTGGTTGGTGCTGAGTTCTGGAGGAGCAGCAGAGAGGGCAGGGGTGCCCCCTGGGGCCCGACTGTTAGAAGTGAATGGGGTCAGTGTGGAGAAGTTGACTCATAACCAACTCAGCAGGAAGGTATGGCTGCCTGTTTCCCCATTCATCCTACACTTTTCTGGGTCTGGGGCCCCTGCCCCAGGAGGCAGACTCCTCCCCCAAGCACCTAATCCCCTGATCTGATCTTGTATCTCCATCACCACCCTTCCCTTTATAGCTTGTGCTATGCCCTTCTCTCCCCTTTCCTTATTGCCTCATTCCTGGGCCTGGGAGAGGTCTGTGACCTGCCTCTGCCCTCCCTACCCAGGGAGTTGATGCTGAGGCCCTACTGGGTCCCCACAGCTTTGGCAGAGTGGAGAGCAGGTGACCCTGCTGGTGGCAGGGCCAGAGGTGGAGGAACAGTGTCGCCAGCTGGGAATGCCTCTGGCTGCACCCCTGGCAGAGGGCTGGGCCCTGCCCACCAAGCCCCGCTGTCTGCACCTAGAGAAAGGGCCCCAGGGCTTCGGATTCTTGCTCCGGGAGGAAAAGGGCCTTGGTGGTCGCCTCGGTGAGTGGGAGCCCTGGGGAAGGGGAGGGAAAGGTGGGCCTTGGGATGGGCATACAAGTGTATATGTGCACCTCTCAGTGCACAGCGGTGTCCCTGTATGAGCCCCAGCCCTGGGCCTCCTCCTCCTGTGTACCCCAGGTCAGTCCCCCAGTGTGCCTGGGCTGACATTGGGGGTAGTCAGGGGAGGAGCAGTGAGGAAGTCTATGTCCCAGGGCAGTTCCTATGGGAGGTGGACCCAGGATTGCCAGCTGAGAGGGCTGGGATGCAGGCTGGGGACCGGCTGGTGGCTGTGGCTGGGGACAGCGTGGAGGGGCTGGGTCATGAGGAGATCGTGTCCAGGATCCGGGCGCAGGGCTCCCGTGTCTCCCTCACCGTCGTTGACCCTGAGGCTGACCGCTTCTTCAGCATGGTGCGAGCTGAGGGACAGGGGATAGGGTGGGGGCAGGAATGGAGTGGGGCTCAGTTGGGGGGATGAGCAACAGGTTTGTCCTATCTGCCTCCTTCCAGGTTCGTTTGTCCCCGCTCCTCTTCCTGGAGAGCACAGAGGCTCCTACCTCTCCCCTGAACACCTGCTCAGCCTCTCCGGTTGAGACCAAGGACCCACCAGTTAAAGACACAGCTGTGCCTCCTGTCCCAAGTGGCTCCCGCCAGTGCTTATTGTACCCTGGGCCTGGCGGTGGCTATGGCTTCCGACTCAGCTATGTGGCCAGTGGGCCCTGTCTCTTTATCTCTCAGGTGACTGATGCCCCATGGGCCTTACCTCCCGGTGAACCTTCCTCTGCTTCCCCCCAGGACATTTTCCCCTGGTGTTCCCTGTTCTGTATCTCACCCTCCACCCCCAGGTGACTCAAGGAGGCTCAGCTGCCCGGGCAGGGCTGCAAAGGGGAGATGTGATTCTGGAGGTGAATGGGTTTTCTGTGGATGGAGAGAATGACCTGGAAAGGCTTCAACAGCTGGCTGAGGCTGAGCCACCTCTGTGCTTGAAGCTGGTGACCAGGTCTCTGCAGGACTTGGAAGCATGGATTCCCCCAGAGTCTGTAGAGGTGAGGAAGGAGAGACAGAGGGACTGTGAGCAGCCCGAGGAGAGAGGGGAACCAGGGAGGCAGGTAGAGCAGGAGGGCTGCAGGGTGAAGTAGGGTGGGCCATGAAGGTTGGGACTGTAGGCCATGGTAGGTAGGGACAGAAGGACACAGGGAACAAGTCCCACTCCTGGGCATTCCAGTGCAGGTGGGGACAGGGCAAAGGACCTCTTCTGGTCCTTGAATGACCTCCTTTCTCCCTCTGCTTAGGAGTGGACTGGAGCCTCGGAGCTGCTCTAGTGCTGCCCTCCTGGCACAGACCTACCTGGTAGCTTTCCTGTCTTCACTTTCCAGCCGGAGGTGGTAGGAGCTGAACTCTTTAAGCCAGAAATGGGACCTCTAGGACTCTGGACAATCACAGGCTGGCCCAGAGCCTCCCTTCCTTCCTTCCCACAGGCCCACCTCCCAGGAGAGGGTGTGGTCAGAGGCCTCAGGTGGGCCCACTAGGAATCCTCCGGTCTGACTCCAGAGGAAGCCGTGTGGGAACTTTGGAAGCTGTGCCCCAAAGGATAAAGTTCTGCCAGAGATGAGTGGTGTGATTTTGTGATGTATATAAATATATAAGAAATATATATATTTGGCCTTCATATGCATTCCTGGCAAAGAGTTCCTACAACCCTTGGCGTTTCCTAAGTAATAAGAGCAATAAAAGGGTCTTTTGTTATTCATAGAAAGCTCCTTTCAACCACACCTAATTTTGTTAATGAGGTGACTTTTGGAGGCATCTAAGGATGGGAAGGGGCTGATTGCCAGGGGAACCAATGGGGTGGAAACTTTCAGCCTTCTCCCCACCCCTACCCCCACCCTGGCCTCCTGGGAGGGTGGAGGGGCAGGAGGTTAAATGAATCTCCAGTGGTTTAGTCAATCATGCTTATGTAATGAAGCCTCCATAAGAAACCCAAAAGGACCATGAGGCTCCGAGAGCTTTCTGTGGAGGTGCTAGGAGGGTGGTGCACATAGAGAGGGTGGAGCTTCCATGCCCATACCCTGCCCTATGGTTGGAGCATCATCTCTTTGGCTGTTCCTGAACTGTATCTTTTATAATAAACTGGTAAGCCCCTCTAGCAAATGATAGGAGTCATGGGAACCTCTGATATATAGCCAGTTGGTCAGAAGCACAGGTGACAACGTGTACTTGAGATTGGCGCCTTAGGGGACTGAGACCTTAACCTGTGGTATCTCTAGGTAGATAGTGTCAGAATTGAGTTACATTTTAGGACACTGAATTGGTGTCCACAGAAGAGTTGGAGAATTTCTTGGTGTGAGAAAAAACCCTACATATTTGGTGACCAGAAGTAAAGTAGTACTGAGAGTGTTTTCATAGAAGAGAGAAACACAGGCTTTCCCTTTTCAGTTGGGCTGTCGGGCCAGCTAGGATTGAAGCCATCTGGAAGTTGCCCTAGACATGGCTCCAGGACTCTTGGATGTATTGCAGGAGTTTGGAGACCAGTTGCACTGGCCTTCTGTGAGCACCTTAGCACTGTGGGGGCTGGCGGCTGTTACAGAAAAGGCCTTTCCCCACAGATCTGGCTGCCTGTGTTTGTGTGGGTGGGGGCAGGAGGCTGCTGTTCAAAGGGACAAAAGGGCCCCAGGCTCAAGGGGTGGGAACTGTTTTCTCCAGAAGAAGGCTAAGACATTGTCAAAGTTCTCTCCCATCACCCAGTCTTCAGGCTAATGGGTGAACCCAGAGCCAAGATGTTCCCACGACAGGCACCCATCTTTGCCAAAAAGCCTCAACCCATAGTTCTGTTGATTTCTACATCAAGATAGCTTTATTGTTGGGCCTCAGAGGGCCCAGAGACTGCGTGCTCAGTCTCACAGATCCAGGGGGTTGAGTCCCAACTGGCGGAGCTGCTCCTTGTGCCTGGTGTGGAGTCTCAGCACAGCTCCATCCCCCTGAGGCTTAATCGCTCTCAGCTTAGCCAAGAGTTGGTCCAGGCAGCCCTGCAGACACCAAGCTTCAGGCTCCAGGAAGGGAGAGGGAAGGCGAGGGGTGTCCAGGTTGGTCTATAAGCTTTCCTTGCCAGTGTTTTCTTAAAGTTCTTATTCTCAGTGGGTGGACACGGTTGCATCCCCTCAAGATAGAACAGAGCTCCCTGTGGAGAAGGGCCTCCCCCCTCATTGACACACTAGCTGGGGTTTGGGTGGTGGGGGAGTGCTGGGAACTGGGTGGTGCTTACATGCAAGATTTCCTCACACTTGGCTTCCATGTCTGCCACGTGGGTCTGAAGCTGAGCCAGAGCCTGGTCCCGCTCTGTGAGGGCCTGCTTTGCCTCTCCCCAAGCAGCCTCGGTCTCTCTCTGGCACGTCTCTGGGGAGTGGAGCAGAAGGATGAAAGAGGACAGGATGGTGACACTCTATCCTTGAACAAAGTCTCCAATGGTACCCAAAAAGGGACAAGAGATCTGGGTCCCAAATCTGGTTGTCACTTACTACCTGTGTAACATTGGGCATGTCTCTCTCTGCGCCTCAGTTTCTTCATCTTTAAAGAGAATGCCATACACTGGCCAGGTGGCTCAGTTGGTTGGAGCATCACCCCGGACACCAAAAGGCTGAGGGTTTGATTCTCAGTCAGGGCACATACCTAGGTTGTGGGTTCGATCCCCAGTTGGGGCACGTACGGGAAGCAATCGATCCATGTTTCTCTCTCACATTGATGTTTCTCTCTCTCCCTCTCCCTTCCTTTCTCTCTAAAAGTCAATAAACATCCTCAAGTGAGGATTAAAAAGAGAGAGAGAATGTCGCTTGCTTCACAGGCCTGCAGTGAATGATGTAAATGTGATGATGTACGGGAAGGCACCTAGGAGGTGCTCAATAAATATTGATTTATTTAAATTTGAGATAAGGCAAAGATTAGGAAAGGAACTCAGGGTCTACATGACAGATAAGCAACTCCTGAATATCTATAGCTGAACTAAAGCTATTTTAGAATAAGAAAACTTTGACGCCTAAATTAAGAAAAATCTTGTGTGCCATGATGAAATATTTCAACTGTATCCCGTAACCAAGAGGGAAGAAAGAAAAACTTCCTGTTTTAAATATATTTGCTTATTTGGAAGGTTCATTCATTTACTTAGCAAATAGTTATTTAGGATCTACCATGCCCTAGGCCTTGAAGATATGGAAGTAAGTAAGTCAAACATTTTCCCTTAGTTTTGTTGTAAAAATCAGCCACACTAAGAGGGAATGTGTTTTAGTTGGGAAAGACCTGGCAGTATTGGGGAACTGAATTTGGGGAGACCATTGAAAAGGGGAAATGTGGTGAGAGACTTCTGTCTTCTTTACTTAAGATTTTTGACATCCTGAACCCTCTGTTCCAATCCTCAATGTGGGAGAGTCAGTGGGAAAAGGGATACAAGAGCCTGGATTTCAGTCTTCTAGAGAAGGACCATCCTAATTCCACCCCTTAGGCCAGACTTCCTCAGTGATCCTCTGAGAGGAAGGGCTTAGGAGGTGGGGATCCTACCCAGCTGCTCCTGAAGGCCCCTCACTTCTTCCTCCAGCTGCCTGCTGCGGGTCTCCATCTGCTCCTGCAGGACCTGGCACTGACGCCTCGTCTCTGTAGTGGGGGCAGTGGGCAGCCAGGGAGCCGGGTGGGGTGGGGGTGGAGGAAGGATGGGAAGAGGGCGTGTGAATGGCTCTGTGTAGCCCAGTGGGACAAGGGCAGAAAAACCTTCTTGGTTCTTGGGGCAACTCTGAGAAGCTGAGAGACCCTGAAAACCCAAGAACAGCTAGGAGACCAGGCCCCTTTCCCCCATGCCAGCTCAAGATGGGTACTGCAGCCCTTCTCCCTACTCACTCCCACGGCATGAACGAGATTAAGGCTATGACTGCATTTTGTAACCCACAAAGCATCGACAGCCTGGCCTCAGGCATCCTGGAAGGTCCCTGCCCAGGATTCCAGAGGCCTTCCTTTCCTTCCTTCAGGTTCCTGCCTGACTTGCACTCTGCTGGGAAGCCTGAGACCAGGCATGGCCGGTGGAGTCCTCCTTGTTCCCCTTCTTGCATCCTCTGGTCCTCTTGGTTGTCCTTTTTCAGGCCCCTGTCTCCTGCCTACCTGCTTGACTGACCACATACCTGCATATATGGCCTTTCCTTCACTTCGGGCCCCCTCCAGCTCAGCCTCCAGCCTTTGCAACCTCTGCTTCAGCTGGTCTTCAGAAGCCTTGGCTCAGTGGGCCTCCCCCCTCTGCAGAGCTGTGAACAGCGCCAGAGCTCTCAGGACAGGCAGGGGACCTTACTGAATCAGCCTCCATGGGCTTGATGGACTCTGCCCACCTCTGGGAACCTGGCAGCAGGCTTCCAGTCTCTCTCATTCTCATTCGC